GAGAGAGAGAGAGAGAGAGAGAGAGAGAAGGGGGACATGCTTATTCAAAACATGCAAATGCACAAATTACCGAGGCGTTTACTCAACGATATACTAGCTCGCAGTATCGATCATAATCTTGTTTTTTTTATAAGAGAATATGTTGAAATGAAATTTTATCGTCGACATAAAAATTATCTTTCTCAACATAAACTAAAGAATACTAAGAAATATTTGTCATTATTTTTGCACTTAGCACGTAAATCTCGCTTTCAAACTGCTACACAGAGCTGTACTTTGTGCGGCACATAAAGTATATCTTCTTCTTTATTTGGACAGCGATTTATTTGGATAGCTTTATTTGGATAGAACTAAAAATCATTAAGCGGGTTATCTCTTTTTCGAGATTCCTCAAAGTGACTATAGAATGCTATAGAGAACTCAGATAGCTAGCTTCGTCTAGCAGACGCTTAGCAGCGCTACGCGTTTATCCCGTTATAAACGACAAAGAGCACAGCGTGAAAGCCTTCTCGGGCCTCGGGGTTTCTCAGTGGGTCTTAACGTTACTGCCCGCTCGGCAGCATCGAAGGGCACGCAGGCCCGACTTTCATTCACCACACACTTATACTGTACATTTATACTACGTATATAACAATGAACATAATAGTGCCCATAAGTGTCAATATCTGGAATCATCAAATTTTTGCGTTTATCACGACTCACTCGGCATGTCGGGCTACTTGAAACTTTCGTCTCGCATCATCTTAAATTTGTAACAAGAAGAAAGGTACGTATACGCACACTTACATATAAGGAAAAGAGGATAACGCGTCTCATACGCCTAGCTTTACCAACGCGAGGATGTCCGTGTATTGGCTCGTTAACACTAAATAGCACTAAATCTCTATGTTAAAATTGATTTTACTTTTTATGTGTCTAAAATTATATACTTGCTCAATACAGAATGACGCCACGCACGCAGAGAGCCGAAATGTTTTACGAGATCCCTCCTACGGTACGATTGATGTCATTTAAGAATGTACCGTATAATGTAATTATCGATGAGGTAGATGAAGTAGATAGTCTCGATTATCGATACGAGCTTATCAGAATACAAAGCTTCAAAAATTGGCCCGTGCCATATATGAAACCCGAGAAACTCGCAGCAGCTGGTTTCTACTACACCGGAGAGCTCGATATTGTTAAATGCTTTGAGTGTGGTACAGAGACGTACAAATGGCAGGAGGGTGACGAACCCTTGGTGGATCACAAAAGACAATCTCCAACGTGCAGATTTCTTCGCAATATCGTTTGTAATAACATATCAGCCAGCGAGATAGCCGATAATGTATCGCCGATTGTGTCGCCGTTATTAGAAGGTCGAGATGTCTGCGGGCCGTATAAACACGATCTTCTACCTGACTATTATAACCCGACCAACTCGTCATCCACATATCCCAAGTATCTGGAATACAAACGTTATGAGGTTCGCTTTCGTAGCTTCGAGCACTGGCCGACATCGTTCAAACAGAATCCAAAACAGCTGTCGCTCGCAGGATTTTACTATACAGGCAGAGGAGACCAGGTGTTGTGTTTTCATTGTGGCGTAGGAGTGAAAGATTGGGAACCCAATGACGATCCTTGGGAACAACATGCTATTTGGTATCCCAATTGCAATTATTTACTCGAGGTTAAAGGACCAAAATATGTGGAGGAGATCACAGGTCGAACTATTTCTTCTAAAGATGTAAGAATATTTTTTTTTCTCTTTTTTTATACTTATATTACACAATTCAAGTTGTTTGGTAAGTTGCAAATATCGCCAAGCATTAAGGGAAAACACACCTCTTCACTGTAATACTTAGAGGTACGTTTATTCACAGACGGCATCTTGTGTCGCGAAAGTGGAGCAATCGGTAGACAAAAGAGGTGAAGCGAAACATATCAAGTTCGCCGAGGAGGATCATCTTCCTGGACCGAGTTCTCAGAGCTCCCGATATAGTGACGATAGTGCCGTAGAAAGTATGTCGAGTAATAATTCGTCGATTAACGGCAGCAATGAGAATTTATCCGACACGAAAACCGAATCCTGCTCCAAGCCTATCAGTGACACGAGAATGTGTAAAATTTGCTTCGACGCAGAGGTATCCCAACTGTTTTTACCATGCAGCCACTTGGTAACTTGTGTCAATTGCGCCAAATGCATTAAGACTTGTCCCATGTGCCGTGAGTTTGTAACTGGACAGATGAAAGTATTCTTCTCATAATATATTTCTCGCACAATATGTTCTCAGCCGTAACATTTTCACGCTTCAATATTTAGAATCGCACGATCGATCGATATTAAGAGACACGGTAACCGAGTACATATAGCATACATTAACATTTATTGAGTCGCGTCATTTTCTTTCCGAAATATAAGTAATCCGTCCATTTCACGAATAGAAGGAAACGATATTACCCAATATGAATGCGAGGCAGTTTCTTTGCAAAATATTCAAGATCTTTTTGAGTTTAAATTCTCTTAGCGTGAATAGCGTATTCTATTACGTCACTACGATAAATAAGGAGTTGTAAACGTTTTTCTAGTTTTACTTTTATTTTTCCGAAAGTCGAATAATCGATGGTTACACAAGTTTTCCTAAAGTATTTTAACGGACTTGTGTAAGGAAAATTTGCAAACTAGAAATAACGTTAATGGCTACATTAACACACGTGTATTAATGTAGTCATTAACACGAGTAGCAATTAATACGAGTCCTAGCTTTATTGTTTTGTAGCTTTTAGAAGCAAAAATTTCTTTAGATATTAAAATCTTCACATTAACTGCCGCATCGAACTCATAAGATATCGTATTCTACGTTTTTGTTTGATATTATTATTAGACACAATACAGAAGTACATTTGGAGAAAGAGCAAGTTTTAACGTATTAATATACTTACATTGTATGAAAGCAGAAAATAAAACACGCGAGGACGGTAAGAACAATAGAACGTGAACGCGTGGACAATAAAACTATAGTTGTAAATACGGTCTCGACATAATCTGGTATAACCTTAAGTAAACAAAAAGCGCTTAAAGGTCAATCTTAAGGAATGGGTCAATTTAAATACGATATATTTTGAAGACTTTTGATATGTATCTAATGTCTTAAAAGCAATATATTAGCAATTTTAATAGATATATTTTTAATAGGACATCATTCTGCTAATTAAAAGTAAGAAAAAATGAAATATATTTTTGTAACAAATATTCTTGGAAATGGATGAAGCACAAACTGTAATAACTAAATATATTTTTGTGTAGCCGCTGTATCAGAGATTTAGTATATGCAAGACTGTCGCTTTTCTTTTTAAGCTGTAGAATTGGGAATATCAGATGCACGCGCGCATACATATTCATACATATATACATACATACATACATATATATATATATACATACATACATACATACATACATACATACATATATATATATATATATATATATATATATATATATATATATATATATAAATATATAATTATGCCAAGTAGTATAGTTGATAAAACATAATTTATTCGCTCATGGTGCTATCTTTACAATATTGTTCAAATTATAAAAATTGTTGTTTGATAACTAGGTTTCTGTTTCATGTGTGAACCATTGTCCCACATAAGTTACAAATCACACACTCTGAAATAAATATTTTGGGCAGATATGTGTGCCTAGAAAATTCCTGATGTAAAAAAGACATATCCTTTGATAACATCAATACGTTAACAGTTATAAAAAAAACAAGATGCAATATCGATATTTTCGATATCTTTTATAACATATTAAAAATCGATTATTGCATTACTCACCGTCTAATATATTATTGCTTGCAACTGCAGTTTCGATTCAATTGAAATTATTTCCAAGAATGGAAAATGTAGTTTTCAATTTTGAGATATATTTTCGCGCGCGCACGCGCACACACACACACACACACATATATTTATTTATTTATTTCGTCTTGTATTATTCTAATTTGTATTCATTGGTCAAGATATTCCATCTTTATTGACCAGATGTTTGGATTCTCGTAATCGGAGATAATGTCTCTTTAACGTTGTTTTTTGTTCCATAACAATTTCGCTGTTTTGAAGTCCTCGCAAAACCGATCAGTTGCAAAGTAACTTGAAACTTTTGAAACTTAAGTCTTGAATCAATGCAATCGTCTACGCATGCGTAATACTTCGATAAACGCAAGGAACGCAGTGTCCATCACCTCATATAGATACACAAGACTATTTACGTCTACATCATCAGACTATAATATCAGACTGTCGCGAAATGCAGTCTTGCGAGCAAAGCTCTGTTGTGGAGTAAAAAACTCAAATATGGTTTTCGCGACAGCCAAGGATATCGGCGTTACGTTCATTTCTGTACAACCTGGCTCTAGTTGCTGGTTATCTTCTTAATCGACTAGTCACGTGATTTCACTGTTGTTGTGCTTCGCGCTGCATCTGTCACTCGTCGTCCTCGTCGTCCTCGTCGTGACGCCTCTGACGATTCTGATAAGACTACTATATAGTCTCACACAATCGCTTTCGTCCTCTTCAGGCTCGCTCTACGTTTAGGGCGAACGGATACAATGTGACCAGCCAATTAGTCGGGCAGTTCAACGATACGCTTTCGCTCTCTCCGCCCAGGCGAACAGGTCTACGCTGGGTATCGCCTCGAAATCCGTGCAACGTCTCAATTCATTCCTGAAGCATCAAAGAAGCGCCCGCGATTAATATTCAATAATATTTTAATAAGACAGAGTCTATACGCCACTCTAGCGGCACAGACTTACCCCGTCTGCGGCTTCAGGAATACATTGCGCTGCATATGGGTAATGTTGTCACCATTATCGCAAAATATCCGTGCCAAGGTAACGTTACGCAGCTGAGCCAATTGCTCTATAACCGAGAAATCGTTGGTGAAAAATTGTGCTGATACAATCGCTTAAAATTTTTCGAGTGCTTGAAAGTCGAGCTTACCAGATGTAAATGGATGTGGTTGTAACGCGGAATCGTAGAAGAATCTATCGGTACGTCGAGATCGGGAAAATTGCTCGTAAATAAGACAACGGAAGGTCGGCCCGACCATGCCATCATCCGCCGGTCTTTCCGCCATTCCACCCACGATAAGATCGACGTCGTTGGGATGAGAATAGGTCGTACGTAGTTTCCTCACCATCTGGTAAACAAGCCACGACACCACATGATAATTATAATCTTAAGAATACAAGAGAATGTCAAAGCGGAGGGGAATTATATCTCTCGAGCTTACCTCCGCAGGTATGTAATCTAAAAAGTCATCGAAAGTTCTGGCAGCTGGAAGCCCGCAGTATCTGCGATAATAGCTGTACCCTGGAAGGCCATGATCACGGCCGCGTTCAATGTCCAAACTGATGGCGTCTAGACCCAAGTCGTTTCCGCTATTGGTGTATAACTTGCTCGTCATCTGTAATTCACAAACGAATATCGGGTTGTTGGCAAAAAACAAGAAGAAAAACATCGCTATATACATCTAAATATGGTACTCACATCTGGAATGAGGCTGATATCCATTTTCTGGCTGGTCTGAGTGGCAAGACCACGAATTAATCCATCGAGTACTTGTTCCGATTCGATCACACGCGGGTTGAAGAAATATTCTACTAGTTGAAGCGTCGTGTTCTGCTGACGCGAATTGTCGGGCAGACTGCAACGAGAGTATGATTGTTCGTCACCAATCCCTTGTGTTCCGCGAAATATTTTTTCTTTGACACGACAGAGATAGTTACCTCAGTTCTCCTTGTATCAACGAATTCAGAAAACGCAGCGCTGCGGTGGCAGCTTCGTTGCTGACCGCCGGTTCGTCGCCGGAATTGTAGCTACGACTGTAATTATTTCCTACGATGAGGCCGATAGCGCGAATATATCTCCTGCCCAGCAAGATGGGCAGCCACTCCTTGTAAGTGATATGTTGAATCTCGGCAATTACGATACGCCTGGCTTCTTGATAAAGGACTTCGTCCGACCAATCCGGATTTAACCTGGCAAGCTCGTCGGCGATGCGATTGTGCTCGCGGTGCCAAACTGTATGGATCGCAGCTAATTGAGGCTCGATGTTTACGCGATCGTCACCTAGTGAATGCGCATATTAGTCAGGCTTCGGACGATATTGGTGACTGATACATATGAAGAGCGATAAACAGACGAGATTTTATTCTACACCTACCAGAGTTGTAGCAACTTTCTCCGCATTGAGAAGTAAGTTCGGCATCACCCTGTGGCAAGTACGCGTGATTATTGTGAACTTGAATGCGCAGACGGCCACCTTCAAACGTGCGGAGATCGCGAGATTTCTTCAAGGTAGATCCGTAAATCGTGGAACCGTCCAAAAAGTGACTCACTTGGTTCATCTGGAGATTATAAACAGATCGTTATTATTATTCGAGCCGCTTTTGTTTGCAAATCAACATGCGAATGCTTCGAGTCTAGCCGAAATCTTATCCTTGAAGCGCGACGAAGAAAGTTTAATCGAACATTTGATGTAAGATAATTACATACCTGTTCCACAGGTCCGAAAGTACACTCAGATCTTAAGACAGGTAACGATCGAACGTAATTCATGCATCGAACGTAATGTTCGCCGTAAACAGGGTCGCGATCTGGCACACTGATGGGAGAACAATCGGGATGTACGTGACGCGGCGATAAGGTATCTCCGTCCGGTTGACAGCAAGATATTGGTTTCCCGGTTGAAACTGTGTACAATAAGAATTTTATTTTCATTCATTCTTGTTCCTAGAAATACAATTTCTAGCTTCTGACATCAGTTTCCGATATAGCTGCAATGACATAGTCGAAGCCTTAAAGTTTCATATTATACAACGTAGATATCATCTTATACAACAAAACCTATTTATTTGTCGCTGTATAAATTTGATTAATTGTACGATTTATTAATTAATTGTCTACTAATTAATTGATTTTGTATGTAATACATTTTGATTTTGTGTGTAAATACACTTAAGAGAGAGAGAGAGTTGAATCAACTTTTTCTTTGATAAAGTTTTATAATATTCTTGCAAAGAGAAGATACACTCTTCTTTCGAGTACATGTACGGAAAAAAATGGTTGGCCCACGCATCATAATATTGAATCTGGTTGGTACGACCAGATTTATGTGTAGGCCAACTATACTGTTTTTTCGGTATGATAATGAGTTTTTCAAAAATTTGTGATTAGTATATTTCATCAAGAGTTCTTAGAATTGAAGATAACTGTTACTTAAAAGAACTGAAAACTCTGAGTTTTTTTAGCAGTGGAATAATATTTCTTTTTTTCTGTGTACACTTACCCATTTTACGAACTGGTGTGTGGGCCATGTCATGAGCGATGAATTGACTCCACTCCATCACAGCCAACGTTCTGCTGGCGTCCGACTGATCGTTCGAGGTCGTCAGAGTCGCGCTTACGAGTCTCGGGCTAGGCAATGGTTTCTTGGTTTGTCCAACGCGCCTCGGTTCTTGGATGCCTGCTTCCCAAAATGTGCATTAAGTCTCTGTCGTGTCGATGGTTCCAAGTCGCAAAATCGGAGTAAATCGGTGCTATTTTATACGACGCGTGCTTCAGTCGAAATATTTATTTGCGGGACTTGAATGTCGAGTCGCACGCGAGCAAAATCATAACGCAAAACGATACGATTCAATTTGTAAACTATGGACAATAAGAGTAAAAAGAATGATCGCGCGATGTTGAAAGTTACACAAGTCTCGTCATGGTGATTACTCCGATTTTAACGAACTCAAACACACGCGCGCTCACGCGCGCGTGCGTGCGTGCATTTCGAATGGTACGCGTGGCAGTGCAGCACGAGAGAAGAAACAATGAAACACTCTCTTCTCTTCGCTATAAATAGGTCACTGTATCACTGGCTGGTTCTAATCTCTCGAAGTCCTAACTACTCGTAACCTACGCCTGATCTGCGCCTGACCTGTGACTGACCGCGTGATCCTGAATAAATTTCTCAAGGAACGATCAGCGAAATAGTTTCGCCGAAATTAGCGAAATTAGCGAACGCGTCCGAATCGCAATAGATGCTGTCAACGAGTTGCCCTTCCGCATTGTTCGCGACAAAGAGTTTCTCGATCGCTAATCGTTCCCCGAAAAGATCTTAGATCTCGTGCTGCAAGGCAAGGTATACCAGCTATTTGGGCTACATTGACTTCGGTGTTCTGATGCGTTGTCGAACGACGAGCCGTTTTTGTTAATGTTGAGTATGGCGGAGGTCGCGATCGTGAAATTGTATGTCGAAATAACAGCTATGGTTATAATTGACAATCCCGAAGTCGAAATTTTGATCGGTCGGATCGAGAACGCTCGCAGAAACGTCCAGCAAACTTATCTAGATGATTGATGAAGGCGCACGAACGAGTGAACCGAATTGCGAGAGTCAAGATTGCATTTCTAATTTTTCTCTACGTAATTACATACAATTGTATGACATCGTCGTAAATATTCCAAATAAAGGGACAGAGAGAGAAGATAGTCAGCAATTTTTCTATAATATATTAGCGACGTACCATTCTACTCGACTTGATATTAAATTCGGGAATATTTACATTTGGCACATGTGAAAGCGTCGCGTACATTAAGAAATCACCTAGACATAACATAATCACATAATCGAGATCATTCGGCGAGAGTCTGGATTTAGAATTTGCTCGTACTCCCAAGTCGTATCCTCTCGCTCGGTTGCCTTCGTAAGAGAGAAAAAGAGAGAGAGAGAGAGAGAGAGAGAGAGACAGACAGAGAGAGAGAGAGAGAAAGAGAGCCGCGTACCGTCAAGTATAGAACAGAAAAGAAATTCGAACTATATATATATATATATATATATATAGCGTTACATAATAAATATGGTACATTATTAGATATATCCGAATTAGTTTACATACACATTCTACTGCTGGATAGAATCTCCCGACCGGGGCACCCTATTGTAGGCAGTATTATTCACTGCTACACTCAGCATTTTATGCTCTATGTGCCTTATCGCACAACTGTAATGCAAATCACAGAATATAATTTGTTAAGCCAATCGACGAACGTTTATCCATTAGCGCCCAAGGATCAGTGTGTGGATGATGCGTATATAAGTATGTAATATATATATGTGTGTGTGTGTGCAGGTGTATTTGCGCGTGTGTACAATATTGCACACGTGTATGAATGTATTTTATGAAAGTGTCGTGATAAGTCGGTAGGCAGGTTAGTAGGTCGAGGCTGGTGACTCGTCGATAAGACCGGACATCCGAGTAATCAAATTGGGAAACAACGACTTCTGACGAAAAGAAAGAAAAAGAAAAGATAAACAAGCGACCCGTGAAACACATATTTTATGCGATTCGTGTTTTGCGAAATTTCCATTCAAGTAACGAGATTTTCACTGAAGTAAGCTCGAGAGAAAATCGGGTGTATTCCGTAGCAAGAGAATAGAATAAATCTTTTCCGCTGCAGAAATTTGTCTGACTCGAGCTGCTTTAGTTGAAAATAAACTGACTCTTTGTTATCGGCGCGCCTCGATGTGCTATATTTATTATCGTTTCAGGCAGATATAATATGCAATCCGCGGCAACTATTTTTCTCATTATCTCCTTCCGACAAAAGTCTGGCCAGACCTTTTGATGATTAAACGCCACGAATTTTTATCATCACGATGACGCATTTTCATTGCTACGTCTTCTCGAGAGGCGCGTGACATTTAATAAATATGCAACTGCGAACATACTTGTCCAATACCGTTATCGCGCGCGATGGTGGATATTAATAATATCGGCATACGTAATCGCGTCAACGTTCGTAATCCCTTTGTAATTTGATATCATCTATCACGATTGTCATTTTACATTGAAAGACCGACGTCGTGTCATTAAAGACCGACGAATCCCCGAAGGATAGGACGGGCGTTGGATGGAATCGCGGAAGAATTTGAGGAAAGCGCCAAACGTTCAGAGGCTGCAAATAATTGTACGATTATTATTCCACACAGAATCAATCAGGTTCTCTTTGTCAAAGTCAGACGACGACACAAAGTGCACGCTCGAAAGCCGCTCTACTACGAAACTGCTTCCCGTGACAAAATCCCGAAAGAGGATGGCCGATGCTTCTTCGCTCACAGAGTCCGCGACGGGGTCGAAAGTGATGCGCGCAATTGTTTCCCTAGTATGGAGCGACGGTCGATATGCAATTCGTAAGCCTGGACGTATGATGAGAATGATGCGACATATCGCGAGCTAATGTCGCTGTTAAATGAGAATGGAGATGGCTAGAAAGAGGGATAGAGGGATAGAGAACAGCCTTACCGTCGAAGTACTGGGAGAAGAGCACTCTGGTATACGCGGTCATCGCGCTGCCCCAGCTCGGGTTATCAACGTTGTTGCAGCTGCCGTCGATGCTGCGATACTTGTAGTCCCCGTTGCAGTTCGCGCTATGCGCCGCGGAGCAGGCTGCTCCGAGCTGGGTGTCTTGCAGTCTCAATGTCGATACGTAGCGGGCGCAGTCGTTCTTGTCCAAACCAAACCTGCGACAAGATCAAATGTCGTTAAATGGTAGACTACACCATTACCGTACGTTTGTACATGGGTGTAAACGTACCTTCGGCAGTTCTGGTGCATGAGATACGACGATGCCTTCGTAGCTACGATGGCATCGATGCTCCTCTCGAATGCGTCTGCCGAAGGATAGGAATTCCAGTATTGTTTCTCAGCCGGGCTCCGTGGCTGGAGCTGGACACCGGCATTGGCAATGTTGTTCTCGAGAGTGCTCATACGGTCGACCAATGTCTGAGCAAACGCGATCGAGTTGTTTAGAGTTGCTCCGTCGATTCTGGGAAATCGCCGATTTTGAAAACGGCCCGTATCCACGATGGCCTCATAACCGTAATTAGTGGCTGGGAATCCTGTGAAAATATTCCTTTCAAATAAATCGTGAATGAATTTGTTAAAGGAGGAGGCCGACTTGCTACCGCGGACCAAGCGTGTTAGATAACTTTAGCCGAGGTTTCCATCTAAGTGATTACAGAGATATTTGCGCGCGAGCTACACTAGTAAAACTATTAATAAAACTAAAGCACGCGCGACTTTTGCAGCAAAAATCTGACGTAACATTAAACGTAACAACGTTAAATATTTACCGTTGTAACTGGTGAGGTAGTTTTGTAAAGAGCCAGGTAACTTGGAAGTGCTGATTGAGTGCGAGTGTCCCAAAAACCCGATCGTCTGCAGGGACATCCAGAGAATCGCCAAAGTGGCAATGGAACCTGCCATCACACCGCCGGCTGCGCAAAATAAAATGATCGTCAGTAAGAACGATCGCCTTCTGTTCTTTCTCTTCTTTCTCTTCTAACACGTCACTCGCTCACTTGATTAACTTTGCATGCGTAATGCGACGCGACGCGATGCGCGACTGTTGGTCGCGAATGAAAATGTTTTAATAACAACGCGCAGCTTCACGTCTGAAAGGATGCGCCGTTGCGCTGCCATCGCTTGGCACTCGTCCCGTTAGAGAATACTCGAGAGTATATACGTATGCGCAGAGTGGTTGCTGGTTCACGATGGAATTACCAGGACCCTTCTTATCTCATACTGTTATTCACACATGCGTATTCGCGACTAAATTTATTGGCATCTTATTTCATGTTGACACACATCTACCATGATCTTTGTATACGAAAAAAAATAATGAAGTACTTGGATTACACGCATAATTAAGAGATGAAATTGTCTCTGCAGAATATTTGTCGTTTGAGTTATTATCGAGTCGAGTTTAATTCTCATCCATGTGACTGCTTATTTTGTCTGCTATTTTGTGACTGCTTAATGTTTCGTCTTTTGTTTGAATAAGGCTACTCTTGCGCCTTATCTAGATCTTACTTTTTCAAAAAGCGTATCTAGGATGCGTCTCGACCTCGTAATATGACTTGTGTCTAATATATTTGTCCAGACTTTGAGTTATGCGACGCGATGTCGCATAATATCGAGATAAACGAATCGTTTGATCTCGGTGTGAACCAGCACTAAAATGTATTTGCACTTTGATGGAATCAGGATAAGATAATATAGAGCGATGCTTTCGAAACGACACGCGAATTGCAGCCACCAAAAGTAACGAAATGAGATTACATTGTAAGACAAAGCACGGGTCGAAAAATTTATTGAAAAAATTGAGTGAAAAATCCCTTTTCTCATTCATCTATCTTTCTTCTTTTCACGAAACAAATGACTAATTTGTATCATAATGATGTCTAGTACATTAAATGCATTTTGCAAGATGCACCAAGTCAAGATTAGGATCTCAGACGCGTGTATACAAATTTATATGTGACTCATAGATGTTGCGCGTTAGACAGACGCAACGTGCATTTTTTTTCGCATGTTCTACCGCGACCTTCGCGCAAATTCTCGTGACTATTTATAGAGCCACGTTTTAGCGAGATTGTCGTCGAGTTGGTGTGCGTCTGTACGTATGTATGTAGCTCTTACCGGTATCTCATTAACGCGATGGTAAATATTCGCTCCGTTCGCTGTTCACGCGCTTTACACGCGCTTTACACGTGGTCGGACGCGACTAGGTCTCTTCGTTTGTCACGCATGTATATACACGACGTTTCTTATTGCAAGCGCATATGTCGTGTGCAATGATCACCGAGGATGATGAGAAAGTAATAAGAATTCTGAATTTTTGTCCATTCGATCGATTAATGAGCGGCAATGTGATTGACAAGTGTGTATTTTTCAGCGCGATCATTGAGTCCTTGATCGGTTGTTTGGCCGACCACAAGTTGTGTAACAACAATAGAATATTTTTCAGTGACTCGATCGCTTCATTGACATGTAACGTATCGTGTATGCAAATTATCGTAGCACATCGCGCAAGATCAACGTGCAGATCCTCTCTATGCGTGATTAACCGCGAGCAACAAACGCGATTAAAAATCGCAGACTAGGCATGCGCGTGGCAATAATTCGCAGCGTTGCTGAGATTAGCATTATTTCACGCTGCAAAGAATGACCGAAATCGCGACTTTGCTATCCTTTCTGGATAAATGGCGACCAAACTAATCGACGTGCCAACGATTCTTTGGGAAGTTATCGTTTCCTCGACACATAGACACTCGACATCGTCGCGATAAATATATCCTTTTACTACTAGATCGTTACCGGACACATGATCCATGGGCTTTTCCAGTCCATGCATTGCGTAAACCCAACGATTATTGTCGACCGGTGCGACGAGAAACATTCTCCGCAACGATGCGTCCAGCTGCAGCTTCACTCCGACCACGTATACACGATTTGCCGATCTTCTTTCTTCTCACGTCCGTTCCGTTGAGTCGCGAATCCGCGCTGATTTCGTGGCTCCGGCGGTTCACGTAAGTGAATTCGCGAGCGAATTTGCGAGTGCACCTGCGATACGAGAGAACGCACCTGGATACGGTGGTAATGCACGACTGAACATGCGCGTGAGTTTCATGCCGCAAATGCACAAACTCGCGTCTCTACCCCTCTCTCGTCCTTCCTCTCCTGCCATCGGAACCTTCTCGCACTCGTTCATTCATTTACCTGCGCGAGTAGTCTCCGTCTTGCTCGCTCCTTCGGCTCAGGACCGACGCAAGTGCGCTCATGGGAACAAGTTGATTAATTCCTATCGCTCACCATTCGAACGCTGCAGTTTGTTGATTTCACATGGATAGGATAGAAAGAGGAGGCATTTTCTTCTTCGACTTTGAGACGACATGCCAGTTCTTTTTTCAAGTATACTTTGGTCTTGATGAGAGAAACCGGCTAGACAACTCTGCTTGTCTAGGATCATACATTTTCGCTTCGATAAGCTTGTACCATTTTCTCGCCCTAGAGCGACAAAACCGGATTTACTGCGTAAGAGATCGCTACCTTTGTTCCCAGCAACGACAAACTCGAGATACCTCACTGGTTACTGCAAACTCTGTCACACATCGTCGATCCCGCTTGCTCCCGTATTTTCACATAGGTTCAATCTCTCTCTCTCTCTCTCTCTCTCTCTCTCTCTCTCTCTCTCGCTCTCTCGATCACGTGCACACATTACGCACACCATGACTCCTCAGCAGCTGTCAAGTTTCGTTCTTTCTCCTTCTCCCTTTCGGTTTCTTCGTTAGACTCGCTCCGCACGCTGACTCGTTCGCGTTTCCCATTCGCTCGTTATTGCCCCACCAACATCGAGTCACCTTATTTAGCTCGGGAAAAAAATTCTATCACTCGGTGAGCACGTGCTCGTCCACCTCCACCCTCCGTCGCGCTTCTTTGCGTGTCGGCTTTCGGAGCAATTGCCGTCAGGTTCTGTCGTCTTTTCCCTTAGCGATACCTTAAATCGCCAAATTGTACCAAACTTTTTCTCGACATGATGAAGAATGCAAGTATGCTTTAGTATATGAAGAGAAAGAGACACGCGCGCGCAGCAAGTACATATGTTTGCCATTTGCCAACCCATATATATATTAATCGCGTGTCTTCTTGCGCGCTTTTTGATGCTTTCGTATGACAATATCGATTCCAGCGTCTTAAGCAAACAGATACGTTTGTTATGTTACGATTAGATAAATAATGTCAATGAGGAGTCACGATTGAATAAAAGTTCACATACGAAAGAAAATTATTCCTTGTCGCACCCAAAGGCATATCTCTTGTTGGCCTGCTGGTGAATTTAACGTTCGAGGCGATTGTGGTGAATTTCGAGATGCTATAAAGTTACTCGGAACTTTTGCTATTCATCCGCTAAAATAGTATTGATGTCCAGTCTCTTGTCCTTTTTGATACCTACGGCAATATTCCTTTGTCCAGGATATCTGTTCCTGAAGTGTTCTTTGAAGAAATTTTAGTCCTGCCAGCTCTATCCCGGTAAAGATCTCCCGGTATTTTTTCACTGCTTTCGCCGTTTGATATGTATAGTGTGTGTCAGAAAAATCGCGTACACGTGCAGTAAAATAATACGGTTTATCGAGTATTAACGGATTCTCTTTCGTGACGGGATATATATATTCTTGATAAATGTTTGTTAAAAATATTACGGTCGCATACCTGAAAGAAATAGGTTCAATGACATCGTTAAATTTAGCTACCAAGAGATAAACCGCTGCTCGCGCCCGCCGCCGACGTGCGATCTGAATGACCCCACGGATCCATGATTAAATTGCAGACGCGCTTTATTAAATTATTGCTGAGCGAGGCAGGCATGCTAAATAACCACGTGTTCGCGTTTATTATGTACGCGCGCGTTTCGCTGTGGATTGATAAATGGAGCTTTCATTGAGTAAGATCCGAATAATTTCGCGCGTATGTAGATACTTTTTGATTAGGATAAGCTGGTCACGAAATCTCGATACGAAAATCATTAAAAGGGAGTTGAAAAAAAGAATGAACCGTCCTTGTGCACCTATCTAGATACGATTTCTTGCAACGTTTTACTTGGAGATAGTTTCGCAGACAATCAAACGCCTCAACGCCCATCTTTCTTTCTCTCGGCGCAGCAGGAAAAGTCGAGCCGGCCGCTGAAGGAGGTCTGCTTGTTCAACTGAACCTCTCTTCGTATGGGAACACGTAGGAAACTCACCCCGACCGACGGACGACCGTTCGCATCTATCGCGTTCCGAAGGGTGAAAATTGAGCGAACGCGCGAATTTATCAGTCTGCACTTACACTCGTGAACAGGGAGGATAGCGACTTTCCGCCACCACATCGACCACCCGAATTCACGATTCTTTCTCCGCTTGTTCTAATCGAACTTTGCTATCTATCCTGGACGCATGCGCCATATTTTTGATGCGGAAAGCGTTGCGCGTTAAGCTACCACCACCAGCTACTGCTCACTGTGTGGCACTAGGGATAGTAATCATCCCCGAGATGTCGTACCGCGCGATGCATTGATTATTTAACCTCGTAACTGCCGCCACATCTCATCCTATCGTGTCGTATTTGAGCACTCGTTGACATAACGTTAGGAGATACGATTGCATCCCTTACGTAACAACAAGTCATTGATCTCGATTTTGTTAACAGGTCCTTCGATTAATTCGCGAACAATTTGGCGTATTACTCAATATTTTCGCGTCGACCGAGGACGATCACGCGTGTCTCTCGATTGTGATTTTTCACAGTATCACACGAGATCACTTGGATCCTCTCGAAATCTTGGACGAGAGTCACTCGGATTTTTCGAAATTATCCAATCGAAAAGACTCGTACACACTCGTTAAATGAGTCCTTGCCAAAAGTTTCGAAGCGTCTCGATTCTCATCGCCGTTAAAAGCGCGCTTAATCGAGTCGGATACTCTGAGCGCGAGCAAGAAACGGTAAACACGGAGGCCGGTTAAACGAGCACGTGATGCTAGCGTGATGGCTTACTATTTTATCTGATGTTTCTATGGGTTGTGTCGTCTCTCTCCTCTCACCTCCTTCCTCGTTTTGTCTCCCCTCTTTTCGAGAGAGAAAGAAATCAGGACCACCTGAGAAAGGAAGTTGCACCAACTATGCACAATTCCCTTTCCTTTTCTGTTCTCATTCCTCTTCAGCGATACCAATGAATTTACAAATTCATACAGTTCAGTTGAATTTTGATGTCCAATATAGCAATATAGCAATGTACTCAATATAGCAATGTACTTCAGTTTTGGACTCACTGAATAAACTTTGTTGTAGCAATGTTTCAACTAATAATGTATCCGCTTACATGTTTCTTTATTTATATATGCTTGTAAAACTTCTTTGTTTGAAATTTTAATGTTTTGTCATTTTTTTTTTTTGCAAAAACAATGCGTTATCGCGAATCGCAGATAGACAATAACGTTAAGCTGCAATCTCTGGCGAGTACAATCGGTACGTACAGAGTCATCTGACGATACGAGCATGAATTCTTCGAGCTGGACTCGACACTCGATGTATTGGATTTTCTTATCCATCGTACCGTGCCGCACTGTAGCACAGTCGGAGTTTCTCAATTGAGATCAGTACAAGATAAAAGAAGCTAATAATTTTTTAGGAGTCTATAATTTCAAAATTAACCAACATAAAAACAAATGCCTCGGTCTTTATATTGGTCTTTATGTTAACTTTAAAATTATAGATCGTGCACAACTGCCAGTTTTTGACTCTTATTTGACTACTGCGCAATACGAATCCTCTAGTTCGTCGTTTATTTCAATTTAATGTATAAATGCAATGCGCGAGATACGCGCTCGATAAAACGCTGGTCATCGCTAACACGACTTTGACCACCATGCTTTTCGAAACGGAATACCCAAAGCGCAAAGTTGCACAATTAATTTACTCACCTACACGAACAACAGAAATAATATTTTCCGCCCGGTTGTGATACTTTTACGGAACGGTACAATTGGTTTGCCGAACGATGTACGATGGCACTTTGTGTCGGACGACACAAGTGATTTTCAAGCCTCGCGTCGTGGCTTCTTACTGACGATGTGACTTCTGGTAGATGCCCTTTTATCATTCGAAAGCAATTCGAGAGAAGATAGCGGGTCTCCGATCCGACGGAGCCATCACGAGTCAACAGATTTGTCCCGGGTCGAAAAGTTTATCGCGGCGCGGATGTGCGATGACGCGTATTATACAAATCATCTTAAGAAACCAATCGTGCACGAGCCACTACAGTAAATTGAAAAAAGATACCAGTACGTTGAGTAGGGGCGAAAGTTCGTAGAAGCGTTTATAAAATAACTGCGCAAATAAATTGAGACTCAATTCTTTTATTATCCGATTGCGTTGTAATATTAGACACGTGGGCGATGGCGAGGTAATATTAATCTCTTTACGTCACGTTTTTGTACTTTGTCAAATTTGATTTGTAGCTTATCTGCGCATATATTTTGGAGAAAAAAGTCGATATAGTTATAGCGCGTATCTTTCAGAAAAAAAATCGATAGTTTTTTTTCCTTTTTTTATCATTAAAATAGTGAATCTTTGTGCATCTTTATAAATCTTCGTTTCTTAGATCGGCTCTTCTCTCTTGTACGTCTATGACGTTTTAATAGAATATTGGAACACAAGTGTGATATTTTGATCAAAAGTTACGTGTCATGTCAACATCGACGCCGATCAGAGCAATCGAGGAAAAAAGTGCGGCCGAGACATCCTGGTTACTGTGTTGGAAAATGTGCAATTGCGAAATTCCAGGGTTAATCGAGACTTCCAAGAGCATATGTACGTCATTGAAACGAGAGCGGGAAAACATTCGTTTCTTATTTCTCATCGTTACGCGAATAATTATATTTGCGTTGCGGGAGACGCCGCTTGGTCATACTAGAGTTACTCTAAGCAGAGTTTGAAGCCAAAAGAAAGCAACTCTTGATTGCTCCGCTATGTTTTATCAAATCTCAACAATATTTAATCACAATACTCCTATCGTAGCAGGTTAGGTTAAGGAGAGGTAGACAAAGAGAGAGAGAGAAAGAGAGAGAGAG